GGCGCTTTCGCGTTGCCAGGAGCAATTGCGGCACAGGCATGTTCGGTGTGTGTGCGGAAACCGTTTTGGACGTACAGGTTACCGCATCGGGGGAAGTACACCACCTCCCCCCCACTTCTCTCCAACTCCAACTCGTGTTTATCTAGGGTTTTGATTTCGAACCCGTCGTCGAAGAGGAAAGTGAGAGATGCTAGGTTGTAGTCTAGTCGGGGAACGTGTACAACCCGTTTCAACAACAGGTCGATTGTACCGTCACGCGAGCTAAGAGTGGCCGTCACGTCGCCATACCCTACGATAGGGAAGGTTCCTTTGGCGGCGACGCGCACACGTCGATCACACTCTTCGTAACGAATGAACCCATCTGAGTTCGCGAACATGTGGGTGGTAGCGCCGGTATCGGCAACATACCTACCCCGCCTAGCCTGCTCTACACCCCCTCGACCAACGACTTTGTGACACTCGCCTGAGATGTCACCGACCACCAGCGCTTCTTCTGCCACGTCCGGTGCTGTGGCGTCCGCAAACGCTCCCCCCGCCGGCACTTCCACCACGAGCACCGCCTCTTCGATCGGGCTCTTGCTCTTGTCGTGCCCGTAGCCCTTGCATGTCTCACATCGCACGGGCTTGCTCTCGGGGCAGTTGGCCACCTGGTGGCCCTTCTTACCGCACCGGAAACAGCGACCGCGCATGCTACCCGCATCGTCACCGCCGCCTCCGCCGCCGCCACCAGCCTTCGCGCCACCCCGTCTCCCCTTCTGGTTGCCGCCGCCGCCGCCGCCACCCTTGCGGCGGCCGCTGTTGCCGCGGCCCGGCGCTCCTCCCCCGCCGCCCATTTGATAGATGCAGTTACTGCCACAACTCCACCGAGCATGGGTGGAACGATTGTCCGCTCCGCATTTCGGATGAGACGGAAGATGCCAAGCATGAACAGGCACTATCAACGCTGGAATCGACCACACGCACGCGTGGTTCACACGAGCCCAACGAGACATCAGTGAACAGCTGAACTTCAACACCGTCATCGGAGATGACGCGCAGGTGCAAAAGGAGCCTGTTGCGGTGTTGCCAGAGGCGCGGGGCTGAAGAAGTACAGGTGCCGGAGGTACCTGCTGCAGCGAAGCCAATGGAGCGCGTCTCCGGTGATGGCCAGGCGCTGACGGCGTCTGCAGCTGATGCTAGCGAAAATTGAATCACATCAAACAGGTTTTGAGCCTCGACTTGCTCGAGCTAGTACACCAGTCACAAGAGTCGGTAAGCAAGCATAGCTACAGGCTTGTCAGGCGAGATCCGAAGAGGATTTGCCAAGTTCAGCGGTGACCCAGGCGACTACGTCGGCTGGCGGACCCTGCACACCTCCTTTTTTATGGAGGACAAGCTGCACAAGGTTCTGTTGGGAGTGAAGAAAGCCCCTATTGGTATTGTTTCGAGAGGACAGTGAGAGAAAATTGGATCTGATGCATTGGTACTAGAGTGACATAATTCTTGAGAGGACATGTTGGAGCAATTACGGCAGGCACAAGAACGGCTCTATTCTACTGCATTACCTGTTGGAGTAAATGCGGTACAAGAACGACTCTATTCTACTGCATGGGCTTATGCAGTAGAATAGAGTCGTTCTTGTACCGCACTTTCTCCAACATTTCTCAAGAACTACTTCATTCTAGTACAAATGCGCATCAGATCCATTTCTCTCTCACTGTCCTCTCGAAACAATATCCAACGATTCTGTTCTACTGCATGGGCTTATGCAGTAGAACAGAGTCGTTCTTGTACCGCACTTACTCCAACGCGTCCTTTCAAGAACCACGTCATTCTAGTACCAATGCGCATCAGATCCAACTCTCCCTCACTGTCCTCTCGAAACAATACCCATGTCCTCTCGAAACAATGCTATTTAAGAACTTCTGACTCAATGTCCTTAAGCCTGTCTTATCTGCGTTGCATCAGCAACGAATGTTTTCCTTCAACACGGACCATTCTTTTGACATATACACACATAATGTTTGATTACGAAGAGGGGAGGTGATCAAAATCCTAACAGCATGCCATGGGCGCGGAGAAGCTCCGACGGGTTCATCCCTTGTCGATTGTGCGTATAGTGACGATCACATACAAGTGCAGGGTACACCAAGACTAACGATTCACAGCAGTGTGTTAAGGAGTGTTGCTGTATGGCACAGATAGGGTACACAGTCGGTCTAGATTAAGATGGGGGACGTCAGGAGGTATACCCTCTTAGGACGTACCCCATCGGGACTTAGCTATCTGCGTGCCCCCAGGTTGAGGGCAATCCGCCTCACCTCAAACCTGTAGCAGACCCGCTTCTGCAATAATAACAAGCAACCTCCCCATCTCAACGCGCTCGTGGACAAGAGTGTCTACGGCAGAATCTACATCTACTACATCTTGGAGGCAAGCCAGCGTCGGGCCGGCATTCCTTTCAACTTGGCGTCACTTTGGCGGGCACGGTAAGAGAGAATTGGACGCGATTCTCCCCTTTTCGTGCTCCGAGGCACGCTTTGCTCACGACCACCACGTTGCTTGTTGTTAGGTCTCACCACCCACGAGAATTTA